GGTGACCGCAATAATACATGTGTTATTGTAAGAGGACGGCAACTGAATTGTGTTTCGAGTTTCTATAGGGAGAATTGGGTCCTCAAGAACCATGCCCGAGCCGCCGTCGGTGGCCTCGAAAGAGTCGTCTCGACATGCGCTTTAACAACTCGTACTAGATGACGTCGTCATCTTCGTCGCCGAGTAATCGAGCTTTGAAAATCGGTCCAGGGAAGTATGGGTTGGGTAGGATGCCCAACCCCTGGACCGATTTTCAAAGCTCGACTCCATGGCGAAGAGAATGCCGAAATCAAGTGATACGTGTTCGGAAAGCTCTCGACGAGACGGTTCCGATGCCACCATTTTCGGCACCGTCACCGCTTTTCCTGCCGAGTAATCAAGCTTTGACAATCAGTCCAGGGGGGTGTGATATCTTAGGCAAACCTGAGGTGCCCCCAGCGTACGATATTAGCTGACAGTCCCGCCACGACGAGCTTGAATAGTACTGCTGCTGGTACTGCTGTATGCTAGCTTGTAGCTCGTGGTCGGATATGTGGGTCTGCTTGTTTGGACACATTGCCGAGAAGGGCACGACTCTTATTGACTAGCAGCATTTGAGACGTTGACAATGATATGCTATGCATAGCATGCAATATTCGGACCAACCTGGTGAGGCATATGTTCGCGGAGCAACGCAGATATGGAGCGGATCCAGGTGTACAGAAGAGCGCCAAGCTTCAGCAGGCACAGCACCGATGTGCTTTAGATTGTTCTCCTATCCTGACTGAGCTTGGTGGAGGTTCTCCCAGGATACAAGGACAAGGAGGTGAGAACGTGCGGCTGACCTGAGAGATGGACCGACGGACCGATCGAAGGGGGAGCCGCAACATACGGCGGCGCCCCACTGTGTGTTATATTAATAGTAGTATAATGGTGCTACGAAGTAGCTCTTTGCGGCTCATTGACACGGGAACACTCCCGTGCACAGCGCAGATATGACTGATTCAGGATTCGAGAAACCCGAGTTTTACAACTTCCCCCCCTTCTTCACTCTACAGCCTGTGCTGGCAACCCGGTGAGTTCTGCTCTCTTTGTACTCATATTCCTCACGAGGAAGGCACAGAAACTCACTCTGAGAATGTACCTGTGCACACATGGCGCGCTCTTGTGTGGAGATGGATACAAGGCGCAAGTTGCGTGACCCGAGGCTGGTTGTTGTCTTCACATTGAAAACCGTGCAGGCGTTCGGGTCTGCTCAAGTACCTTCTGACATCCGTACCAGTCAAACTGAATATTTCCAACAAGCAGTGTACATGTATGTATGTTCCCTTTTGTCACGCCAAAAATAATCATGGTCGCCAGTTTTATTGATACATACGTACGTTCAACAGCAGGATTTTGCAACAGCTCTTGCGTGTGGTGATCCAAAACTCTAACGAAGGGATACACTAAAGTGTAAATACTGAATCCCCCCTTACACGGCTGCCTCTGTGTTTTCGCGTGCGAGTTGTTGGTTTGCTCCTCGTTTAGAGTTCTTCAGTCGATTATTAGGGACCCAGTGACCGTTGCAGACCCATGACTGGCGATGTGATGGCGATCCAATACTCCAGCCTGCGATATGGAGCTTAACATATGTTGATATTCTGTTGTGTGGCGAAATTTCGGATACCGTTTGCCACTTTATTTATGCATATGTTCGCCGACGACTCGCGTGACGTTGGCCCCCGAGAAACATCAAAAAGGCGAACCCTTGAAAGCAGCAAGCGAACGATGGCGCAGAAAACTTACACTTCTACCATTCAACACCACAGCGTAAAACCTATTCGTGCGGGCCTACTTTATCGCTAACGGCGCTGAAATCCTTTCCTACGATCGTGGCAAGCAATGGTCTACATGCAGATGTTAACAGGAGTACCAACGGTGCCAACAACGTGAATTGGAATGGCTGGGCGGCAAAATTTTAGAAGGGATCCAATTGCGTAGGTTACCTTTCGTATAGGCAGTAACTCCGGTGATATGCCGAAGGTGTACACTGGGGCATCGAAAAGATGGAACGAAAGACACGTAACACTGCTTGACACCCCCTAGTAAGGCAGCTTGATGTCCGTGTTGTAAACTGGCTGCTGTGCGCTTTAAGCTGCGAAACCGTTTCCTGGCGATGAGTCCCTGCAGGTCGGGTCATGAGAAACATGCCTTTCAAATGAGCATCATTCGAAGACATCCTCTGGCTACAGAACAAGACCCCGGGGATTTCAGGATCTTTTCTCAGGAATACTTCTAAGCTTATGTGCTGCCGTAATCGTTCTCCCGTAATAGGTTTCCACATACGTTGCTTCAACGATATAGAATAGTGCGCATGGAGGCGTTCCGCAGCGCCTTAACCACGGCCTTCTGCTTCTGATTCTGCTTGTCACTAGGAGGGCCATATTACTTCTGTCACTTTGTCTTGTTTCTTTACTCTCTTCAAAGAGCAGGGCCTCGACTTTTTCACGTACGAAGATAGTGCCTTGGCCAGCGCTACAGCTGTGCCTATCTCTTCCGTTGTCGTCGCGGCTCGAAGAGATTCGTGTGATCTATCGATTTTGCCCTCCTCGAACAGAGAAAAACAACTGAGGTTATGGTGCGACATGGTACTGAGATGGCACCACGCTAGAAAGGAGTACATGTTCGAGTGGAGAGACTGGCCGCTGTGGGAAAACGAAGCAATCGGACGAAAGCTAAGCAGTGAGGGGGCGAACGCTGTCGTCGAAGAATTGGTTCGCACTGGCCACGCAGAGTGGAACGATGCTGGAAAGTCCATGGTGACTCTAATGTGGCACAGCGCGGAAGAGATTGCAGCCAAGCTGTTCGACTTCGTGAGGAAGCACGACATGGTCGGCAGTGTTTTCACGGTGTACGAATTACACCAAGGCGATGAGGTGTTGGGGACGGTAAGAGCTACTGCGTGTGTGGCTTGGGCCCATGAATCTAAGATCTGGCTTCAGGTCTAGTATGGCCAAATGCATCAGCCATAAATGGGTGTCTCGTTGAGCAACGTTTCCATGGTCCTTGCCCTCTCGATGGTGTGTTGGCACACCAACTTTTACGGCAGTACCAGGCTTTGACGAGAGCTCTCGACTCGTCCGCCGAGAAGAGCGATTGTCTTTGATCGATGGTGTAGGTGGTACTGTAGTTCAGCCTCCCTCAACAACGCACGCTCTACTCAGGTTTGGGTTTCACGCGCAATATCTGCATTGTTTTCGTGCTAAACCAACTGAATTTGGAACACACTTTCGCAACTCTTTCTCACTCTCTATTTTGATGTGCGCAGGATTTTTTCGGGATGGATGAAGGGCTATTCAGGAAAGCGCTGTCTGTCTTGGAGAGCCAAGAGCGAGTGGTTATGTTCAAGGGGGCGACTTCGGAAGAGGATGGAGTAAAGTTCTTAGGATGAGTCTGCGCTTGAAAAGGTTTATTCGAAGGAAGCACGGCTTGGGCACGGAATCAAACCGTCTGTGCGCAAAGGAAACACGCTTTTGAGGATAGGATTTTTGATATACACACTACAAGTGATCGTGTGCTTAGCGTTAATGTTCTGGAAATGCGTTGTCAAAGTATGAAGACAAGTCCCGACAGAGGCACGACGATGGATGCCATCGTCGCCTTTTACGTTCGCACCCAAAGCATTGTACGATTGTTTTTCTAACTTCTGGATGTTTTTTTTCTCGCACGGCAGTTCGAGTTAACCGACCCCGTGCGAGCTTGATGATGATGTGCGGATATCGGAAGAATTGGTTCTACATATTTTGGAGTTTCACGCAATCTGCATGCGAAACCATGGCATTTGAGATGCTTGGTGCAGATCGGCGTGGAATCTCCTTGTGGACTTCACTTGTGAAGCCGTTAGTGTGTTGATTCGACCTCTCCTGAGTCAATCCATGCATCCGTGCAACGGCTTGTCTTTCGATTGCCTCGTTTATGTCGTCATGCGACACTTCAGTTGATCAAATAACTCCGTTCTTGCTTTTTGCTGACATCCTATTGCCTACGCACACCAAGCTCAGCCGAACAAGGACGCGAGATTCGCAGTAGTGTTTTCGGCATCGAGGGGGGCTTGTAGGTTGGCGGCCGTGACTTTCTCTTGTGTTCATGTATCTGATGCTACGTACGACGCACGTCCGGCGAGCGGCAGCGTAGTTAGTTGTATATCGTTCCAAAGACACGTTGTTCTCGGAGAAAGCAAAAGTGCTTCACTGGCAGGTAGCAGTAGGAAAGAGGTCCGGCATTGCTACTCGATCAAGCGACACAACCACAACTTCTGTACCGTCAATAACATTGTTCGAGTAAGTGACAACATCATACGCCTCGCCGCATAGTTTGGGAAGACCAGGTATTGACTTATGTACGCGTTTTGCCTGGTTAGGAAAGTCTGTGTCCAATCGGCCTTAGGGCCTTGTCAATACCACCTCTCCTCCTCGTTGCACCCATCCCCCGAGAAAATATGCTCACTATTTATGACGTACTGGTTAACGGACATCCGGCCATCCTCCATCCAAAACAATGCACAGAAACACAACTTTGGGGCGTATTTCTTGCTTCAACGCTCGAACGTGATTTCGTGTGCACCTTTCGCCACTGCCGGAACCCTCCCTTTCACGTGTCTAGTCTCATCCTTGGAGTGCTTCGGCATGTTTGTACAACAAACCTGGTCAACGGTAACTCAAACAACAGCCATCAGTACTTGTTGGCGATGTCTTCCAACAGTCAACAGGCCCCATCCATGCCCAACGTTCTTTGCACATCTCTCGGCGGGGTACCCCATACGGGCTGCGGTACGAACTTCTGCAGTGCGCTGGATTCCGCTCGTCTCGGACAGCAGGATATTGTCATTCTGCACCCACCCACCCACCCACCCTCATACAGTTTCTCCCTATCGCGCCATCCTGGCGCATGTACGGGCTCGTGGGTTGCCTGCATGCAGAGCAGAAATAAAACACGTTCGGTTGACGACATGGTGTGAGATTCGAAAAGGTGTTGTTTAATCAGCAGCGGCAGCGGGCAGGAAAGTATTTTCTCGCGCAAATGATCGGAAGGGTCCAATCGTTGGAGGGTACTCCATTTTTTTTTATCTGAAAAACATGTACGTGCAAGTGAGTGGGGGTTTAGGGGCGATGGTGGTCCAAACAAAGAGGCCTGCTTGCACTCGTTCAGACGAAGGGCCAAGAAAATCGTGAACGAGGAGCAGGAAACAGGTCGACCAGGTCGTACACTGGACACCCACACAAGCGTAAAGAGAGGAAAGCCGGTGCTGTGCATCAATGTGGTGTGTCAGTGTGTGAGTGTGTGTTTTGTATGGGTCTCTACCACCTCTCAACTTCTCTGCCATTGCGACATTCACACATATACATGTCAAGGTCTTGCATTTATCTCCTCGATCTCGGCTGCTGGGGTCAGCAGTGTAGGAGAAATCAGCCTATTTCTATGTCGCTCAGTCTCCTTTCTATACCATGTTAAACTTCCACACACAGACGCCACGCCCTGTCTCGCGCTTCCGGCTTGCTGTACAACAGCGTAGTCAACTGTAGGTTGTATTCCTCTCCTTGGCATCTCGCTGCCCCATCTCATTTCTTTCTTCTTCTTCTTCTCTCTCTCTCTCTCTCTCTCTCTCTCTCTCTCTCTCTCTCCCTCTCTCTCTCGCCATCAATTCGACAGAGTGAGCACGAGCAGGTGTCACAAGTTCTGGTTGCCAAACCTCCGATGCACACGCAGCGAATTCTAATTTGGTGCCGTGTCGGTGAGATGGGTATTGGAAATGATGATGTAGTTTACGGAAGTTGTGTTCCTCAGACGGCGCCTGCAGCTGCTGACCAACTGCTGCTGTGATACCAACACAACAAAATCGTGCCCATTTCAACAGCCTGGTGAGTGAACGAATGCATGACAGGATGGCATTGTTGTTGTTGTCTTCATATTAAAAACCTTCGATCTCTCTATCCAGTACCTTCATCACTAGTCTAACACTTGACCCGATCGATTCTCGTGGTCACAGGCTAACTTACCCCCAAAAAGGTATATACTAATATAACGGACCCGAAGGGTCCACAAGTCAACAGAAAACAACGACAGATAGTCCAGAACCCTCCGCTCGCCTACACGCTATGCGACGTAAACAGAGACTGGGAGTCAACATCACGGCCAGATGGATGGGCATATTCCCTGGTTCAATCTTGGTACTTCACAGAAAAAGAGAGAAGGCCATCTGTAAAGGAAAATAAAAGAAACGAAAAAGAAAAAACCAGTACCTAACACTTTTCCTCTGCACCTTCCCAACATAACATATATGAGACACACAAGACAGCTACCAAACTGTCTTGTTGAGCCTGTTACCCGCAGGGGAGATGCCCCTATATACTGTCTGGGAAACCGTAGACATGCAGGTACTTTCTGACGCTATGAATTCATTGCTAATCTGTCGCAGACTCTTTTTTATGATAGAGATGGATTCGTTGTGTCATATTAAGAAGAAAAAAAAAAACGAAAAAGAGAAAGACACACGCCAGAGCCACTACTGTAACGAACGGACACGTACCAACACAAGAAAGGGCCACCAGACGCAGCAAAGGCACCCCATCGCTCGTGGGAGGTTGGTGCAATGGTGCAGTCATGGGGGGGGGTGATAAATGATCAGTCAATCAGGGATTCAATCCGGTACATATCGCGCCACTCGGTCCCCTTCTCGTTTGCTTCCTTCCCTCGCCGTCTCGTCCGTCTGCTGCTCCCCTCCCGCCCCATTGATTGTTGCCATGTCCGTGTTGTTACTGGGCTCGTTGTTTCGTTCGAGTGCTCGTTGTCAGCTAACCTCCTCTTCATCCTTGTACCAGGAGGTCATGAACCTCTTCGCTCCCTGCAGTACCCACACCCCCAATATGCCACGCTCCACCCCGCTCCACCTTCGCTGCTTCCGTCCGGGACTCCGAAAACACATGGCTCGGCGTCTGTAGATCCTGCTCTGCCTCGAACATCTTGAGGTCGTCCTTCAGGCACATCTGCGAGTTTTTCTCATGTTTCACCCTACCTGGGTCCTCCCCCACCACCAGGTCGCATCGCATAAGCCGTTTCGGGAGTCGCCCATCTGGCTGCCTTGCCAATGCTCCCGCGAACAGCAGGGGCCGTTGCCGAACGGTGGCTTCCACGCCCTGAGATCCTACTGTCTTCAGGGTCTGGGCGTAGGAAAGCTGCCGGTAGGTGCCCTTCATATGTTGGGAACCGATAACTCGCAGGAGCCGCCGGTAATATATCGACCGCAACAGCCGATAGTGGTCGCGACGTGGGGCCGATGTCATGCAACCGTACAGCAGTGCCTCCATCGCCCCCGCCTGGAGCACGCGAGTCTTGAGTCGGAACGGTGCTCGGCCTGTCGAAGAGCTCCCGGCCATATCTCCTGACCCACGCCCACGCTGCTCTGCTCCGGTAGTTGATCTCCCGGGTGATGTCGCTATGTTCGTTGACGAGACCACCTAGGTACCGGAACTCAGTCGCCTGGGCGTACCTCTTCCCTGCTGCTTCGATGATCAGCGGTGACGGCGGAGGCGGCTGGGGGAGCGGTGGTGTTGGCTGCTTCTGCTGGACGCGCATCAGGAACGTCTCCGTCTTCTTCTCCAATACTGTCAGCCCGACTCCCCGGACACCTCCACGATGATGGCCATCATTCTCGCCAGTCCGTCAGCTGGCCTCCATATAACGCCGGCGTCATGGGCATACAGCATCCCCCATGCCGCCCTCCGCACTCGGTCAAGTGGCGTCCCCGCCCCCGCTCCCGCCTCCTCCGCCATGTACACCAGGTTCTGCAGAATAACATCATCCTCGCTGAATCGAATGGAAACGACTTCAAGAACCGCGGCGAAGAAGATGTTGAATAGCAGTGGGGGCAGCACACCCTTGTCGTAGGCCTTGTGTAACCCATAACCAGTCCGAAAACTCAGCGTCGCCCATGCGCACCCGGGCTCGCATTCCGTCGTGGAATTGGCGGATGACGTCGATCATCTCCTCGGGAATCCCGGTCCTTGCCAGCACCTTCCACAGCAGCTCTCGGACCACCTCATCAAAAGCCTTCTTCACGTCGAGAAACCATGTGTGCCGTAGAGCAATATTTTTCTTCTCCGCCCCAGCTCCTGGACTCGGCGCACGACGAACAGCATTACGATGGATGATCGCCCAAGTCGGAACCTGCACTGTTCCTCCGGAAGCATGTTGTTGGCCTCGAGTAGGCACTTAGGCGGTTGTTGATGATCTTGACGGGAACCTTGCCTACGTGAGATAGCAGCGAGATCCCCCTGAAGTTGTTGCAGTTGGACCGGTCACCCTTTTCATACGGCGCCTTGATGGTTGCGTCTTTCTTTTATTGTGGGATTTCTCCTTCGCTCCACACCTCAACGAGGATGGCATGGAGGTGCTCCAGGACGATGGGTTCGTCGTCGTCGTCGATCTTGAGCAATTCGTCAGGGCGCCTTGCAGTTCTCAATGCCTTTCGTTGCCCGTTCCACCTCTTCGACGTCTGGCGCCGCTCCCAACCGTCGAGTGGCACGTGTCGCCGGTCGCTGCGTCACTTGCTCGATGGTGTCTGGGTTCAGGGTGGGGGACTTGGCGTTGGGGAGGGTGCCGAAGAACCTCGCCCATCGCTGGAGGGTGTCGTTCTTGGTCCGGAGCAGCACGCCATTCTCGGCCGCAGCGGGTTGCTGCCCTCCCGCTTGTCTTCCCCTGAGTCCACCAATCTTTTGAGGTGTTGGTAGAGTCCTCTCATGTCGCGGTTCTCGTAGATCGCTTCGAGTTCCGTCACATATCTGTCCAGGTGGGCATATACCCCTCCTGTGTGACCCCGGTTGGGTCGTCTAGCTAGTAGATAGGAGTGGAGGATGGGGGCCAGAGGGGCAGACGACAGAGTCCAATGATGGGAGAAAAAAACAATAAAATAAACACAAATATGCCCGTTTCGACTACGGCAGCCACTCCGTTACACGCTGCTTTGAGGGCCCT